CCGTGTTTGATGCGCAAGGGTACGAAAGAGGCACGGTGAGGATGAATTTTTATCGTAAATGTCATACATATGTAAATCTTTCTTCGATCTAGGCATGACTTAACGTCAAATCGGGACACTGTGGCCGAGTGGTTAAGGCGCTAGCTTCAGGTGCTAGTATGTTCGCATGCGCGGGTTCGAGTCCCGTCGGTGTCAAACTTTTTTTGCTGGCGGCAAGTGGTCTTTTTGCTCTGCTCCCACGAGCAAGTTTTTGCAATCAACGAGTCAGGAGTCGGGATGGGTGTCCGTGTCGTATCGCGGCGTGGTCGAGCCGGCAAGTTTGGGAGAGAGGTTCGAGTCAGATTCAATTCCTTGTTCTTTCTTTTTGTTAATTCTTTCGTAATGCAATTTTTTTTCCGAGTGCGAGATCTACTTCGCTCTATGTCCTTGGGCTCAACGGCTGGCGTGGATCTGCAGGGAGGCAAGAGGCTCGCCAGCTTGCAGGAGCTCAGCCTAGAGGGGTTGAGTTATGGCCAGCTTCATGAGCGGAGAAATGACATGCGACCAAACTCCAACGTGGGGGAACGGGCAGCGCCCGACTACTGACTCGCATGACCTGACCAGCCTGGACAGGGCCCACGCCATCGGGCGTTCCGGTCAGAATGACATCACCGGCCTCAAGGGTGAAGATGTTACTAATGTACTTTAGGGGGCCAGCACGTTGAAGCGTCGTGAGACGAAAGCCACGAGGCGGGAAGTTGCCCGAATGGCGTCTTGTTGGCACGCATGGGCAAAGGCGCGGACCTGAATGAGATGTGGAACATCAAAGATCATGTCCGCGGTTGAGCCATCCTGACGGAGTTGTTCATCGACATAACAGCGGAGCTGGAGCTGCTGTGGGTCGGACACAGCCGCCGCGTCCACCATGTCGGAGACCGGGCAGAAGCCATCATAGCCCTGCCAACCAAAGAGCAACACGATGAGGGCCATCGTCCAGCACCCTGTGCTGCCTGGTCCAGTGAATCGTGTACAGCGGGCGCACAAACACAAACAGAGATAACAAATAACAGACACACCTTGGCTACACTCCAAGGAAGGCCAGCCTTTTTGGCCTTGGATTGAAGGCAACGCGCCGTCATGTCATAGGCAAGGACGTAGCCATCGACGCTGGCCATGATTTCTTCACGGGAGGCAGTTTCAGATAGCTGCTGCACACGGTGCTTCATCACGACACCCAGCTCCACTTCATGGTGCAGCTCCGTCACCGCCTTGGGAATCTGTGCGCACGCGTCCGCCGTTCGCAGCCGTGTCGTTAGCCACGACCGGGTCAAATGGCCACGGTAGGGGCTCGGGACACAACTAAAGGCACTCAGCCACCGACCCGAAGCGTGCTTCCATCGAAAATATAGCTCGAGGTGGGCTTGAGAAAGAGAAGAGGCTCCGTCGGCACGGCCTCTCCCATTTCAGCCGCATGCTTGCTGTTGTTCAAAGGACGTCACCACCGCGAGACGTGAGCTTGGCCAGGCATTGAGCATGACCTCAACTCAAGTGCACTTTTTCCGAACCAGACGCGTCTTACCCAAAGTTTCGGCCCACACAGACGACCTTCTTGCCCAGCTCTGCAAACGCTCGTCGTGCCGCAGCCATCTTGACTCAAAACACACAGAGAAAAAGAGAGAGAGAGAGAGAGAGAGAGAGAGAGAGAGAGAGAGAGAGAGAGAGAGAGAGAGAGAGAGAGAGAGAGAGAGAGAGAGAGAGAGAGAGAATGAGAGAGAGAGAGAGAGAGAGCAAAGCGAGAAAAACAAAACAAGACGAACGGCTGACTGACAACTTATTGTCGATCAGTGTCGAGTTGTTGTTGATCTCGATTTGCCATTAACGTATGATAAGCGTCTACCCCAATGAAGTTGCTGAAGATAATTCTGAGGTTGGCGCTGTTTTATTGGCTGCTAACACTGGAGCATCGCTGTCTGCGCGCGCGCAACGGCACCCAGTGCGACGCAAGCAAGCGTGTGATTCAGCCCTTAACGGCGGAGAGGCCCGGATGAGCTCGGGGATAGCTGGCAAGCACCCGTTTGCTCCTGCGCATACTCTGTAGACGCGGGTTGTTGATCGGTCTCGGGATCAGGCAGGCTGACGGGTGTGTTGGCCCAAGCCCTCAGTTGGGAAACCCGCGCTGACAGATGATGGTGGGCGCAACGCACGCATCATGAGCCACACCAAGCTACCGCTGCGTCAGCCCGTACTGGGACCGGCACTTGATTCCAGCAGCAACCCGTTTGCTCAGGATCAAGGGCGCGCAGTCATGTGTACACGCCCACGCCTGTACGTGGCCGCGCCTGCAGGACTTTGTTTGGAGCTCGTCGCAGACATCCATGCCAGTCAGGAGCAGGTGAGGTTGAGGTTCCCCGGCAGACCGGCCCACATGTCTAAAGGCGACCCGAATCTGCATGCCTTCTGTCACCCTTCCCCTCTGGCTCCTTTGTTACTTGCTTGAGTCTTGCAGCTGCTGCTGGACATTTGGCAGGCTGGCGAAGCAGCGTTGCGCGATCATGGTGCAGTCTTACCATACTGGCACGGCTGCCTCTCGCTCCTGGTTAGTATTGCGTGCCTCTTGAGTCTCAACTCAAGTCGATTTCAATTGCTTGTTATTGCCATCTCATCCACCACGCTTCATTACTTGACGTGTGGTGCCGCGCCCGCAAAACCCTGTTGCTCATGCCACGGCCCTTCTTGTAGGATGCCGAGGCGAAGCTGCGTGTTACACCCGGTGACAATGTTTTTCTCCTGCGACGCCACGAATCGTGCTGCGCCAAAGTGTTCCTCAGCCGTCGTCTCCATTCAAAAACGCAACACTTTGTTCTACAGTGGAGCCTTCAACAATCATCAAAGCCCGTGCCTCGAATTCATGTGGTCGGACATGATGCCGACCAGAGCTTTGCAACCTTGGCTGGCCTCATTGCTCATTTCAAGAAGCACGATCTGGCCGGTAAGTGGGCATGGCTCTGCTCACATCATTGCGGATACCCTTCAGCTCCCACCGTGCCTATTGACCTGCTCTTCTCGGTCAACTCCAGCTCACTCTACTGGCTTCCCTTGTAAGGTACCCCCTTGGGCTCCGGACTAGAGGTAGACTATAGCAGCAGCAGCAGCAGCGGTAGCAATAACAATTACAGCAGCGATGACGGCAGTGGTGGCAAAGGCTTGTTGTACGATATCCTGCGTTTCTGTTGCTGTCCCGTCATCTCACTTGATACGCACGCTCGACTTCACCATGTGTTTTGAGTGCTTGCAGCAACTCGCTGGCTTTCGAGCAATTATTCATGGGTGAAACTGGGTTTCGGCACTTTCGGCTGACCATTCAAGCTCTGCGAGCAGGCGCATTGGCTGCGCTTCCCTTCAAAGCCAAGCATGAATCCCTTGCCACGGTAAGAAAAACGTCCTTGTCGCGCTGCAGCACCCTGGATCTTTGTCATGGCGAATTGGGGATGCACGTGCTCCTTTGCCGGGCTGTCCTCCTTTGCATTGACCGTCTGCTTTCCCGTGTATGCACGTATCCTTCTCACACACGCCGATGCCGACGGAACTTGTGCTCGATCTCGGTGGCATCAGCTATTTCGTTGTGATGCCGTAGTGCCCTCGTGCCTGTTTGCCGACTGTACAAGTCGCTATCTATTTGCTTACACACAGTGGCAACGCCAAGCGGAGCCATTGCAGACTTTGATACAACCCTTTCCTGCCGAATTCGATGATGGCGACCTCGAAGAGCTGCAAGATGCTCGACTTGATCTTGCCGCTTATGCTTCACAAATTGCGTAAGACTTGCCGGTCCCCGTTAAAGTCCTCGCTTTAGACCCCGGCGTCCCACGCACGAGTCCAATAGGTTCTTCACACGCTTTTGTTTTGTTCTCCCCCCGCCCCTGCCCCTGCCCCCGCCCTCCCTTCAAACAACAACAACAACAACAACAACACCAGTGCGCAACGCTCGTCAGCCGATTATGCCATTGAAGGGGATCGCTGTAGTCATGATGCTCATGCACATTTGTCGGAGCGTTGTCGCAACGATACCATCACACTCTCCGTCAATTTGCGGCCCAACCAGTTGCAGGGTCGGCTTCGTACCATTGCCGTTCGCTTCCGTGCCTCTGTCAAGCGGGCACTGCAGGGCATCGTACCGCCTGAGCCCGCCCGCCGGCGTGAGCTTGGCCTCAACCCCAGTCTCGAACCTTCCGCGTACTGTCTCAAAGTGCGTATTCACCTCGCTCGAAGCGTGCCAGCAATTACGCACTGCGACCGCCCTTTCCCGCACGCAGATTTCCACACACGACAAGGCAGCGCCCAGGCTTACTCACCATGTCGCCGTACGCCACTCCTCGTGCCTGGCATGACGCGCAGGTACCGGGCCGGTTCGAGTACTTGCAGGGCGAGCACCGTGTCATTGACTACTTCTACGTGCGGCGCTGTGTGCTGCGTCATATGCCGATCGAGTTGGAGCTGATGGTGCAAGCAGACATTCCTGGTCAATACCCACGGCTAGAAATCAACACCTTGCCCCACGACGATGTCAGCGATCTGTTGTTGACGTTGTGCAGCCAGCACTCGACAAACCCCACCCACGATGGTGCGCAGTCTGTGCCATGTTCATCCACAGTCACCACACACCATCTACTCATGGCTCGATTCTCTTTCTCCTCGCACATTTGTGGGCCTTTCTCCCCCGTGCAGAGTTGAGTCAGGCAAGCGACCTGCAGGAGTTGCCGAGGCAAATTTCTTCCTGGAGTCTGGAGCAGGATCTGAGCATCAAACTGTTGCAGTTGGCCGGTATGTTACGCGGTCAATTCTAAAATGGGATATTGGGTGTTCAAATGAGGTCTCATCTACTTTTTTCAATGCGTAGGGTTGCCAAAAGATCACCAACTTCGCATCAAATTTACTCTGGCCCACGGTGATCAGAACTTGGCGCCAGAATACTTGCTCAACCTGTCGCGTGCTGAAGCAGCCTCATCCGATGTGCTGCTGCGCCCTCTTCACCTGCCCATTCGCGTAAGACACTTCCACGTTTGAGCTTGATGTGCACGCGGGCGATCGTTTTGGTAAGAGATGGCAAGACCACTCGCATTTACATCTGATGCCGTACATGTTAGATATGCGATCTACCGCTTGCCGCATGTTTGAGGGTGCACGTGTTTCGCATTATCAAGAAGGACGATGATAGCGAAAAGGCAGAGCTCACGGCGTTGGGCTGCATGTCTCTATTTGAGCATACGGCTGCCTTGCGGAGCGGTGTTCAGCCTGTTTCCCTTCACACCCAAAGCGTGGGCACCAACGTGAGTCTGTGTCGAGTCATATCTTTCAAGAGCCTTGTTAGCCACCCCAAGCTGCAGTGTGGCATCTTGTATTGGAGCTCAAACTTCCTGCTCCCATGTTTAGACGGCTGGCTATCTCCCAACTTTTGATGCAGAAAACCCGAGCTGCTTGTTGCTACAATTGCCGACGTTTCCTTGGCCGGTGCGATGCGAGTCATCGATACAACTTTTGTACAGCCGCTGACACAAACTCAATCAGCCCCCATCCTCTCTATTTATGTTGCAGGTGCTATACCCTGGCGCCTTTGACGATTACATTGACTCGTCGGAGCTCTTGGTACGTTCAGAACCAGTCGTGGAAGGTATTTCACAGGCAGCTGTTGTCGAGTACACTCAAGTTTGCTTTGGGCTCCTGATTGATGGTCAATTATCCTGCAGGAGCAAGACCGGGCGAGCAGTGAGCGTCTCGAATCACACATCTACTATCGCGGCCAGCCTGTACGACAAACCCTCTAATCGTTTGCACAGAATGTGCCTGAAGCGTATGGACTCTAATCAGGCCTCATGGGGGATAGGACGTGCCGTTGATGCCAGAGGATGGTGACATGCCCGTGGATCTTCCCAGCGATGACCACAATACCACCTTGAGCGTACGCGAGGCTGTACCGGTCAGAGGGGTGGCTTGATCATCGCGCCTGTTCATTGCTTACCTTGTCTTGTCTCGCGTGACTCATTTCGCGTTCCAGGTACCCGGCGCGCTCTTGGGGCTTGTCAGTCGGCTGGCTAGTCGGCGGGACGGTATCAAGCTGAGTGATATTAAACATAAGCGGAAGAAGTTCCGCAATGCCTTCGTGGGCCGAGACCTGGTACAGTGGCTGGAGGACAACCTGTTGGACGCTCCCAGCGAAAACGCTGTGCTGCTTGCACAACGTTTGTTGCGGTCGGTTTGATGCCGTCAGAATGAAACAGCCGCTTGTGCGTCAGCTCAGATTTGTGGTCAGCCGCTCAATATCGGAAGCTGTGCTTGGCTAGCGTAGACTTAAAGTGGTCGTAGCGGCTGTCGATCCCGCCCACACCCAGTTCGAGGAGCAGGACGTGTACCAATTTGGAGCCTTTTGCCGTGTTCGCAGTCGAACCATCGATGAGGATGGGCAAGAGGATTTGATGGTTAGTCTGCTGGTCACATGCTGGGAGAGAGGAGGGGATCATCTGGCAGGCTCTCACGCTCCAGTTTGTGCAGCACCCACTGCACATGGCAGAAACACAGATGGCCATAGCCAATATACAAATGCAAGACAGCAAGCGGCTAGCACGGCTCCGTCACCTAGACATCCTTGTGCCTCCCACGGATGGGGATCAGCGTCTGGTGCGTGTTTGGCCGTCTCGCGTCACTTGTTCTCTGCCTACTGTGAGGTTGCACATCCGTGTGGTGTAACAAGGGTACCAATCACCATCTTTGGTGACGTTGTCACAGTTGTTTCGCCGCCGCCACGAGTGCAGTCGATATCCACGATTGCTTCCCAAGTTCCTCCAGGCCATAGCATGGAATCAAAGCTGGCATGTGCGGGAGGCCTACCGGCTGATACCAGACTGGTTGGCCAACGGCAGTTCAACCAATGCATTGCAGCTGCTTCTCTATCACTTTGCAGACCCCTTTGTTCGGCGCGCGGCTGTGCAAGCACTGGCAACGATCGGTGACGATGACTTTGAGTCCTACCTTCTTCAACTCGTCCAGGTTTGTGCCAAGTTGCCGTCACCTGTTCAAATATGAGGGCCGGCCGCTGATGGAAACATTCCTCGCCTTGCAGGTGCTACAATTTGAAATCTTCCATGATTCTGCGTTGGCACGCCTCTTACTCAAGCGCAGCTTAACCAACCGACGTGTGGGTCAAGCCTTATTTTGGCATTTGCGTGTTGAGCTTGACAATCCCGCTCTGCGTCTACGCGCTGCCTTGCTTCTGGAGGCATACTGCCTGGCTGCAGGTACGACTTTAGGCCTCCAAGGAGTGGCATCGGGGCCCAGCCATCGGTCCAAAACATCGATGAGATGGAGTCATGGGAGCTGTGCTGGCCTGTTTTATCCTACTGATGTTTCAACGGCGTCCGTTTGGCAGGTGACATGGTGGGGGTGCTGTTGAACCAAGTCAATTCGTTGCATGCCCTGGATGAGGTGGCCACGGCAGCCGCCGACGGCAAACAAACGCAAATGCAACGATCAACTTTGCTGCAAGACCGCTTGCAAACCGTGCGTTGCCTGTCTCCTTGAACGTTGGGCATGCTTGGTCAAGCATCAAGGGGAGCCATGGCGACCAAACCCGTCTCATCTTGGCCTTTGCCTCCTGCTGCAGAGTGACTTGCACTTTCCGCTAACTATGCCATTCAACGTGGGCATGGTGGCCAGCGGCATTCAACCGCTCAACTGCCGCGTAAGCTACGACAAAGCGGGTGCCCGGAGCTGACCCATCCGCTCTCACCTTCATCGCGCGTGCTTGCAGGTGATGGACTCGAAGAAGAAACCACTGTGGCTCGAGTTGCAGAACGCCTCTGCTCCTCGGGAAACGTTCAAGGTGTTGTACAAGCGCGGTGATGACATTCGTCAAGACATGCTGACGCTGCAGATGCTGCGTGTATGTTCTCGTTTGTGTGGGCGTGCTGTTCTCCCCCTCTCCTCCTCACCAGGTTTGGACGTATCTTTTAACTACCATCACCTGACCCGATTGCTGCTGGCCCACAGCTAATGCAACGCCTTTGGCACGAGGAGGGCCTGGACTTGCACCTCATCCCCTATGGTTGTGTTGCCACTTCAACGTGCGTGCTGATTTTGGTACTTACTCAGACTTTAACACGCTTGATTTCTGGTCGAATCCAAAACTGATGATCATTGATGCCGTGCTTTTGCCCTTGACAGCCTCTCGGGCCTGATTGAGATTGTACCATACGCACGCACTGTTGCCAGCATTCAAAAAGCTGCAGGCGGATCTTTCTCGGCTTTTGCTGAGGAGCCCATCTTAGACTGGCTGCGCAGCGAGTGCTTGAATTCAGAGGAAATGTTACAAGCCGCCCGCAACAAATTCACTGTCAGCTGCGCTGGTTATTGCGTGGCCACGTATGTCTTGGGCATCGGTGATCGCCACAATGACAACATTTGTGTCACACCTTCCGGAGATTTCTTCCATATTGACTTTGGACACTTTTTGGGCAACATCAAGACCAAGTTTGGGGTCAAGCGGGAGCGGGCACCCTTTGTGCTCACGCCAGATTTTGTCTTTGTGATTGGCGGGCAAGGTAGGTCCTGTTTCTGCATGTTGTACTATGAAGGTCATGGCATCACTTGCTTACGGGATGGTTCTGGCTGATGTTGCCACGGTTAGAGAGTCGTGAGTTTGACGGCTTTATCAAGATCTGCGTGCAAGCGTACTTAGTGCTTCGACGCCACGCTCAGCTGTTGATCTCCCTATTCGCTATGATGCTCAGCACGGGCATTCCCGAGGTGCGCGTCTTTGGTCTCCTGGGCATGTGGCAGCTTGAAAATGTCGCGTGATCCCCCACAAATTATGAGGGTCTAGCGCCTTACATGGTGCCGTGCTTGACGCTGGGGGCTTGGTATCTTCCATAGCTGCAACATGAAACCGACATTGCGTATCTGCGCCGGTCGTTGAATCTCGACGCGCCCAGCGAAGCCCAGGCGGCCGCGGATTTCAAGGAGCTCATTTACAGTTGCCTAAAATTGTCCTGGACGACACAAGTCAACTTTCTGATGCACAACCTGGCACATTGATGCATGGAGAGAGCCAAATCAATGCCTCGCCTTCTCTTGTGACCGCGTTGAATTAGCGTTCTTGCGTGTGTGGCATGACAATTTATTCACATGTGGGGGTTGATGTTGCAACAAACGCTTTCAGAACATGCCTTCTCTTGATACGCATGTCATTCTCTGTGCGTGGTTCAACCTGCACGTCTCGCAACCTCCACCCTCCAAGTGATGTAAAGCACAATGCCAATGACGTTTAAGATTCACAGGTGGATTGTCAACCAAATGGTCGAGAGACGGGGCGTTTCGAGGCAGAACCTCCACAGGTCAAGGCGAGGAGGCACCCAGTGATAGCAGGCAGGACACGCACAGAAAGTTGACCACCATTCAATCAAAGAAAACACGGAACTATCCGACAAATCAACACAAAAAGCAGAGAAGCAAAGTCTTGAAAGTCATGCTGCTTGCTTGATCGGGGCAGAGCGACCCGAGAACCCGTTTGACCCAATGAACCCACCCTGCTGACACGAATCTCTTCGACTAGAAAGGGAAAAAATGGCGCCCCAAAGTTGGTGAAGCATCTTCAGCTGGACTTTTTTCATGGCCAGCAGAAGACAGCAAGTGGGTTTTTTAAGGTGTCATCTGCGACGCCGCGAGCGGCGGCGATCGTTGCTACCGAGAGAACACCAGCACAGGACATTCGTAAGATGTAAGCAGGAGGAAAGTGGAGCAGCCGCGCAAGCAAATGTTTGACAGTCAACAGTCCAAGCAAATAGGACAAGCGTGTGTTGGCCAGGGGAAGAGAATGAGCGTCAGATAGTGGAAGGACTAGAGAGACGCCTTTGCGCTTTGTTTGCATGTGTGTGTGTGTGTGTGTGTGTGTGTGTGTGTGTGTGTGTGTGTGTGCATCCAACTTTGTCAATGTCCTTCATCGTCTCACCTGGCATCATCACTGCGTGAGGTCTCGTTTGACTCGGCATCAATCGGGTCCAAGTCTGCGTCGAGATCCGCATCGCGGGAGGCATCCAGGTCATCCTTGGCACGTTTCTTGGTGGGCGAGGCACTTTGCGAGGGGAAGTTGGTTGTGCTGCGCGAGTGCGAGCGGGCATGCTGCGAGTAGGCGGGAGGATGGGAGAATTCGCGCTGGCAAACTTGACAAATGAAATATTTCGTTCCATTGCGTATCACTTTCTCCGGAGGTGGCACGCCATCATTGTTTGAGCTTGCGCTATCGCTAAGGCTGCGCTGGCGACGAGCGCGCTTGCCGGCGGCTCGCGCCTGCGCCATGAGGTCGTTTTCCTGCTTGCTATCATCTGGTTGACCCTCAGCCGAACTGGGCACATCGGTGTGGTCGAGGCTCGTGTCGTGCTCGGCGGTGGGGGGCCGGCTGCTGGCAAAGTCACCACTCAAGCGACGGGTGGGTCGAGGCCGAGGTACAGCAGCTTCGGACCGTGAGCGCGATGAGCGCAGGGGCTTTGGAGACGAAGCTGTATCATTGCCGCGATCATCCCCATCATCGCCCACACCGTCTTGCGAAGCTTCATTGGAGAAGAGGTCAGCCGTCTACAATTTGGGAGCATGGCACATACACCCATCCGACGCACATGAGATGGTTCGGCAAACACGGTTTGAACAACCTGCCAGAGATGCGGAGTGTGCCAAGAAGGGCTATGCATATGTTCAAGGTGTGTCTCATGCATGAAAGCTGTGGACATACGTCATCATCGAGTTGGGAAGCATTGCGCGAGAGGCGTTCACTGCTGCGGTGCAATCGTGTGCTGGCTCGTCCAGAGGGCTCTTCTGAGGCCGCACTTTGGCTGCGCGTGGTTGTACGGCGGGCGGCGGCCTGAACTGCTGCACGGCGGGCAGGGCGGCGGCGATTCGTGCCGAGAAGGGGTTCATCCTCGTTATCTGATGCTTCTGTGCTGGTGGCAGCGGTCATTCCTGATGTTTGCGAGAGCTGAGAGCTGTGACCATCGGGCGCAATCTGTGCAAGACGCTGTTTGTGGAGCTGGGCCAGGTTGTTCGGGCCATCAGGCAACTGTGAATCTTCGTCATCGTCACTCTCCTCCTGCTCAGCCATGTGGCGTTCTTCTTCCTGTCGTTGTAGCTCCTCCTGGTGACGCAAGAAAGCCGCATGGGTGGTGCGGTATTCGTCTTGCAGAGAGGCGAGCTGAGTCTCGAGCCGCGAGACGACATCGCTGTCGTCTTCCTTGGGGTCTTGTTGTGAGAGAGCTTGGTACTCGAGCAGATCCTGGCGCAACGCTTGCAGCTGCGCCAGGTGTGCGCGTTCCAGGGCGGAGGTGGACTCTATTTTTGCGGCACGCGCTTTGTCCAACTGCCGGGCATGGGCCCAAATGGAGCGTCGGTCCTCTTCAATCTCATTTCGCAGCATGCGGCGGAAGCGCTGTACGAGTGCACCATGTCTCTGTGCCGGTGAGCGGCGGGGTGGGCTGCGCCCAGTAGGTCCGGTTGTGTCTTCTGTGCGACGGCGGCCATTGGGAGTTGGAGTGGAAAGCCTACGCGTCAAAAAAAAGTAGTACTACGTGAGGTGTGGGAGAACAAGAAGTGGCTCAAGGCGGCATGAGAGGGGAGGGCAGGTTCAAAGTCAGTATACCGGGATGTCGGTGTGGTCGGGCTCTCTGCGTGAAATTTCGTGGTTGCGGGCGAGGAGAGGGGGCTGGTGGTGCTGGGGACGCGCCGTGGGGCTGGTCGATTGCCTTGGGATGGATTTTTGGAGGGCTGACCTCCGCGAATGTCATTTTTAGATTTAGGCTCGACGTCTGGTGAGGAGTGCTTGGGTGAGCGGGCCTTTTGGGCCTTGGGTTTGGTCTTGATATCCGAGGTCTTGAGCTTGGGGTTGGCCGAGTTTGGCTTGGTGTCGATCGGATCAGACTTGGCATCTGCAGCATTGGCTTTGGCGCTTGTTCGGGTCGGGTGGGTCGCCGAGGGCACCGAATCTGGGCCACGTACTGGCAAGGCCACGTTGAGGTCTTCGGTTTGTGGAAGAAGATTGGTTAGGACGGGTGTAGGGCTGGGGCTGGGGGCGGGCCCCAGCGGGGAGGCTATGGTCACGACTGTAGCTGCCCGGCTGCTTTTGGTAGCCTTGGGCAGCAGTGTACTGGCGGACAGCCGAGCCCCGGAGCCACGCATGTCTGCGACAGGATGCGAGTCAGAAGCAGAAGGAAACGCGTGGTTCAGTGAGTGGAGAAACTAGGGGTCCTTTGACAGTCTCGGTTAAAACGGATGATCTCAGGAAGCCAGCCGTTGGCCAGCCTGAGCAAGGCATGACTCACGGGCTGGTGGCACATGGGCATGTGTACCGATGGCGTTTGATGCTACGCGCGGCTGCCCAACATCGGCCACTCGCTTCTCGGAGATGGACATGTTGGTTACTGCGAACTATTAAAGGCGGTCAAAGAAGCGAGGAGGGAAAGCTGGGTTGCTTCAATGTCTGGCAAAAGACAGCCTGCGTCGAGGTGGGAGGGAGCGGGGAGAGGGACTCCACTCCCAAGTCTTACAGCTGTGCCGGTGCACCCCCGCCGTCTAAACCTTTGCGAGGTATGCAGTCAGCCACAGAAGGTGAGCAAAGACGATGTAGGTTGAGGGCTGGACACTTCAGCCATCCATTCTCCGCAGGGCTGGGGCTGGGGCTGGGGCTGGGGTAATGGAAGATTCAGAGATGGCAGGTGTAAGTCGCTAGTTACATACCGCGGGGGAAAGGATTCTTGTGTGATACCAGGCTATTTCACAATTGGTTTTTTACATCGAGGGTACGATGGCTGGGATCGGCTTGAACGTGCCCCGTTCTGGGCAGGCTGACAACGGCGGGTCAGTCGATGTTGAATGTGCGTGTGTGCGTGTGTGCGTGTGAACGGGGTCAAGTGGATGAGGCGCGAGCTGCGAGCTGGCACAAGCAAGCACGATATATCGGTGGTAGTCTTGGTACCCCAAATGCAATCCGTCCGCGGCTGCATGCGTCGTCCTGCACGAGGTGTTGGTTTCTGCCGTTGGCTCAGCACTGCAGCTGTGTTGCCGATGATGCGCGACACGTCTCGCAACAATGGTACCCGATCGTTTGCCAAGGCTGCAGACAGCGAGCACCCCGATCAGCCAACACAAGAACAGGGCACAGCTGCAGCAGCCCACTGCTTGTCTCACAGCCAATCAACACCCCCTCCTTTCCGCCTCACGTACCAGCGATCAAGCAGACCAGACACCATCAGCGCCACAAGAAAAACACAGAGAAGAGAGAGAGAGAGAGAGAGAGAGAGAGAGAGAGAGAGAGAGAGAGAGAGAGAGAGAGAGAGAGGAGAAAAAGAGAGAGAGAGAGAGAGATGAAGAGAGAGAGAGAGAGAGAGAGAGAGAAAAAGAGAGAGAGAGAGAGAGAGATGAAGAGAGAGAGGGGAGATGTAACTGCACCCATGTATTTAACGAACACTTTCTTAAAGTGTAATATCAGTCCCACCTCTGATATGAGCGCCTTGTCATGTTGCCTTCATCGCGAAATTGAATTCGGCTTGATGCGAGTTGTGAAGAGAGAGAGAGAGAGAGAGAGAGAGAGAGAGAGAGAGAGAGAGGGAGAGAGAGGGAGAGAGAGTGTGTGTGGACCGATGAGCGATGCTTGCTGTGGCTTGTCAGAAGAGTGCAATGGGCACTGCCCTTGCTGGAAATGTTTATCTGGCTAGGATCTCAAGCGCTTTTGGAGTTTGTCGCTGGTCATACCAAATGAACAACTGACTACGTAGTCAGGGTTTTGCCGATTACACAATTGATCGCAGCCATGATCTCAGCCTTGTCTGATCGCATGCCCTCCCACTGATGCAGCCAATCGAAACATCAGGAGTACCTCAAGACGAGCCAACACACGCTGCCATACGACATGACAGCCACTCTTCTACTGTACTGTACGACCGACCAAGAACGCTACTGGCTTGGCCGCAACATCACATCACAACGACCACAATAATGTCAGACAGATGGGGTTACCACATGTGAGTTTCGCCACAGCCCGCTTCACATGGCTTTTTGGCTGACATCGGTTTGGGCAAAAAATCCGAGAACGTCATGCTATTTTTAGACGTTGTGGTGGCCGTCGCAGAGGGGGATATTGCTTGAAAGCCAAATCATTCATCGAGGTTTGAGCCCGTGGTCTGGTACTTTTCCTCCTAACCAGGTGTGAACATCATGACCGCGCTCGGCGGTGACCCGATACCGATAGCGCCCTCTATGCTGCTGCAACCCAGGCGCCGCCGTCCTGCCCTTCTACCAATCCGCGCCGCCCTGGCTCATGGCCAAGCACCGTTGTCGAGGATCAACCTGCGCTGGCAACTCGCCCGCAGCGAGTGGTGTGAAGTGACTACCTTCCTTTTCCGAGGGAATGGACCAGTCATGCACGCACGCGACCAGCCGGCGCGTGACACTTCGAGCACCAACTCTTTGACCTCTTGTCGGGGATGATGGCGGCGCGGGGTGTTGTGGTGGAGGACAGGGCTGTTGCGCTGGGTTGTAGCTACCGGGTGCCACTGTGGATGATCCTGTCCAATGCCGTTCCGCGCCTTGTTTGTGTGCGCCGACACAATGCCTCATTTTTGAATGTGCTTTTTTTTTGCCCTGTGTGATGCCGTGTGCGTGCCAATTTTCCTTCGTCCTTTCAATGCTTTAGCAGCAGGCAAGATGGGTAACACCAAGGGTCTGCGCCGCGGTACGCGGTACATGTTCTCGCGGGACTTCCGCAAGCGTGGTCCCCTCAACCTTGAGACGTACCTGACCGTCTACAAGGTTGGCGACATTGTCGACATCAAGGTACGCAACAATGGTGAAGCTTTTGCTTCTTTGGCCGGAAGATTTTGCTTGTTCAAACAATCACATCCAATACACCCACGAGCGCATGCACCAACACTTTCCAAACATCCTCGTCATTCAACACAAGATGAGCCAGTACTCTATATATTTCGAGCGTTTTCCTCGTGTACATCCTTTTTTTTTTTGCCTCGTGTACATCTTTGGCTCTGTGCTTTTGTGCTTCGGGGAGGAACGCAAACTTGTGCTTGTCACGGGCCAGCGCCTTCAAGGTGTCAATCGTTCTGCATCAGGCGCCTGATCCCTTTGATGAAAGCTTTTCGCTGAACATACCGTGTTGGTTTATGATTTAATGAGCCTGACGGGATAGCGCCTGATGAACCAGACGAATCGCTGGCCCGTGGCTTTTGTTTCCACACGACATGACTGTCTTCTTTTACGTTTTCCATTCCATTCCATACATACATTCTTCATATCCGTTTCATACACGACCATTCCACCATGTCTGATGTGTTCTCAACAATCTTTTCTTCTTCCACAGGGCAATGGCGCTCAGCAGCTGGGTATGCCCTACAAGGCCTACCACGGCAAGACTGGCCGCGTGTACAACGTGACCAAGCGTGCTCTCGGTGTTGTTGTCAACAAGCGCATCAAGAACCGCTATGTTGCCAAGAAGATCAACGTGCGCATTGAGCACGTCAAGCACTCCAACAGCCGCAAGGAGTTCCTCCGTCGTGCGGCCGAGAACGACGCCAAGAAGGCCGAGGCTTCCGCTCGCGGCGAGCGCGGTGTTGATGTCAAGCGCCAACCCGCTGGTCCCAAGCCTGCCGAGTTTGTCAACTTCCAGACCAACGAGCCCGTCCGACTTCGCCCTGTGCCTTTCGAGTTTATGGCTTAAGTGACCCTGGGGAGCAAGACTTCTTAGGCATCTTCGCTACAGTCATAAGCGGCGAGTCGAGGTTGAGACCAGGATGGTCTTGTTTGTTTTCTGCCAAGCATCCTGTTGTTACTGCGTCTTGCCAAACTCGAAACAAACTGAAAAATATGC